AAAATATGTTGGGTAAAACATGGGTAGATGTAATAGTTACTGTGTGACCAAATAAAATAATGAGAGGCCTCGATATAGATGTTATTGATGATCCAGTCATCTAGCTGAGTATAGATGACGACTACAGACTATTCTAGACAGTCCAGTGGAACGCTAGCAGGCTCGCAACCTGTAGGTGTTTATTTGAACTGTGTGCTCACCAGCAGTACTCCATCCCCTACATGGTTGCCTTATTTGACATGAATTGTTGAGGAACCCCCGAAGCATGCGTTGTCACCCCGATGGAAGTCCTTAGACTAGGTCCCTTGTGTTAGATGTTTTAGGGACATAAAGTGAGGATAACGGGAAAGGGTAATCGGGTTTGTTTGGTTTGATAAAGTTAATAAACTTATTTATTGTGGATTGAAAACCCTATGTACTCACCAAGTTTCCCAACCTGACCCACTCAGTTTATTTATATCACAGGTGTTGATATGAAGTCACATTACACTGAGAGATTAAGGAGATATAAATCACAAGTGATAATGAATGTAAGTTCTGTTTATGCTTATGTTTCTGTTTTGACGATGACATCCCAAATGTTTTAAAATGAATACAAATACTTTTCTTCGGAAATAATTTGACAACGAATTTATCATGTTTTACTGGGAACAAATTCCGCAACATTTCTATTAAAAGAGGTACTCTGATTTTTATAAAGCATAAACAAAATCGGTCTTTTCTGGACGTGAAAATGGGGATGTCACAGTTGGTATCAAAGCATTAGTTTAAGCGAACTAGGAATAAGGATTTATTTCTAGACTTACTCTTAGAATGTTAAGCGATGATCGTGAGGAGTGTGTCCAATATATTTTAGACAGTACACCTGAATAGACACAAGCACTAGCTTAATTAGGGAAGATGCCTAAAATGATTTTATGTGCTAAATGATTTGTTATGCTTTATGCTATTGTTTGATCGGATCTATGGTCTGTTGCCGACTGGATCTAGAAATTTTATGTGTTCAGATTTCTAAATGTTTAATTACGATGTTAGAACTGGCATGTAACTTTTCAGAGTAATAAGGAGGAATACGCATCTAAATCTTCTTCTATCTATATTCTTGTCTCGATACACCGAATGCATGATTTGGTGTGCAGAACATCATGGTGAAGACTCGTAGTGAATTGAGTGAATGGAGGAAAATGAGAAGGCTTACGATAATGAATGGTACCTATCAGAAGATATCGCGAGAGTGATATCATGCCTTTAGAATGCATCTAATAAATAATACGTCTAGTGTGGGAGAAGTACACGTTTGATTAGCAGAAAGAAAGATTTTTGGTATAATCCATGAAGTTATCCCATCGTCTGACAATTCCCTCACCAACCGAGTTGAAGCAAAATTGATGATTGAAGATACACATGGAAGAAGTCCTAGTAGAGTCTAGGGAAAATTATATGATTGTTTGGACACATTTGAATGTGTTAAAATTTATTTTATGATGATAACTTGGAGAACTGCGAGACAATACTTGGGACGAGTATGAGTAGGTGTGAATGGTAGTAGAGGACTATACTACCGGAAGCACAGGACTCACGCTTGGATAAGAGAAAGTCACAAGGTTACCAAGAATCTAGTAATTGATATCATTTTATTCAAATATGTCATTACTATCATTTCGGTAATGACTAAGAGGATGATTGTTATTCTGACCCTAGTGGTCATATCCAATTGAGTCCGACTACGATGAATATGTTACATGGTTCAGAGAACCAAGTTTGATGTAGCATCTGACTTAATCCAGAAGATTGAAATAAAAGATATCACGATAGTTGCTTATAGCTATGAATTCTACCTTTTAATATGTGATTAGAACATGAAGGAAAGTATAGTCTGTTCTGGAATTTGACTCTAAAAGACCTAAGTCCAAGCAATGCATCATATGATAAGAGGTCATTAGAATATGACCCATCAGTCTATTATAATAATCAAAGGAAGAAGCTTATCTCAAGTTTGTCAAAGAAGGAGTCTCCAATGAAGATCGAGATTGTGATATGAAGATCATGATTAGAAGTATAACATGAGATAGAGCGGGTCTAAGATCGGGCACCGCCAGCAGTCAGGAAGCCTTAGAGTTAGATACTCGTTCGAAGAAACATCAAAGTTACGGTTACTACTTAGGATGAAGAGATAACATATGGAGTCATCATGTGAGCCCTATTTCGTTGATGATTCCGGGACGTAATCATCCTAAGGGGGAGATAATTGTAACGCCCGTAGATCCAGGCTAGTCAATTTAGAGATAAAAGGTGTGGAAAATGAATTTTCGAAAAAATTTTATTTAGAGTAAATAATCTTAACCAAGCAGTAGAATATGTCTCAAGGGTTCCGTACATATAAAAAACGCAGAAATCTGAGTTATAACGAAGAAGTTATGGCCCGTCGAAGTTTTACGGCAAAACCGGCACGACACCGGGAGACGTAAAAGTGAATTTTTGATAAAGGAATTTTTAGCCTTAGTGATCCAAACAAAAGTTGTAGTCTACGTTAAACCAAGATCGTCCATAAGAAGAACGCTCAAATCTGATTTCGTATGAGGAAGTTATGAATTTTCTAAGATTTGGCTTAGCAGTGCACAACCCGAAACTTGAATTTTAGATCGAGTGGTTTTTGGCCTACACGACCTAAATGAGAATTTAAGATCTCTTTAATAGGAACTGAAAGGTAAAAAGACAGAAGAAAACAAAGTCCGTATGTAGAAATTATAAATTTTACGTGGACATTTAACTGGTATAATTTCCTCGTACTATTAAATTTAATATCGGTCGAGAACTAGCCAACGGAATCAAAACGAAAGTTGTAGATCTTATTTTTACCTACGTGTGGATATAAATAATGTCAAAAACGGAGTTCGTATGTAAAAGTTACGGATTTTAGAAGTAGGAAATGTGTTGTGCGAAAATGGGTGACGTGGCACAATCTTGGCCATTGCTTTCTCCTCAAGTCTTGCCACCAGATGGTAAGATGTGGCACCAAGTTCAGCCATATTTCACCCTATAAATAAACACTACTAGAAAAACAGCCTTTTACGACGCGCAATTTATGAGACGCATTGATTTACGATACACAAAAGTGTGTGACCTAAAAATAATGTCATCTCTTTATAAATTTTAAGGATTTAGGACACGCATTTTGTGTGCCCTTAAATTAGTGTCTATTACAATAAAAAATAAAAACACGGAGGGCGCCTATAATAAAATGTGTGTCATCTGAGGGTGTCGCTTTATAAACTTTAATGGAAACGCGCGTTCCATCCTTTAATTGTAGGGGGGAAATGAAATCCTAAAAAATTAAAAACCCCACCTTCCTTTTTTCTCCTTTCGCTCTTGCCCTAATTATCGACGCTCTTCCTTTCCCCTCCCAACATTGACTGCCGCCTGCTTCTTCCCTCGCACTTCAACCATCGTTGCTTACTATTATCGATCGTCGACTTCTGTCAAGGCAACATGTCTTAGATACTACATTTTCGAATCCAACATGTCTCAGATTCTTCTCATATGCCTACCTTCAAAGATCTCCTCTAACATTCCTAATAATCTGAAATAGTTATCTCTTTCTTTAAATCAACGTTTGTTTCCCTGATCTTTTAAGTTGGTCTTTTGGATTAGATTGTTTTGTTTTCTGATTCCTCCATCTCTATCAGATAATTCACAATTTAATTCGACCAATTTTAACGGCTACTTGCAGAACTTCCGATTTTACGGTTTTTTCTGTCAAATTGATTACAATTTGATATGAATTTGTTATTTTTATGACTTACTAGGAAGCAAATGTAGTCACCCTTTTGAAGATCGCGATTTAAGATCCCAAGGATGATTACATAATTTTAAAGGAACTGAAGGAGTTGGGCGGTGGTAATGGCCGCGGCGGCGGCGGTTGTTGTTCACTGCCTTCTTCTTCCTCGTCGTCGAGGAGTTGTAGTAGTGTTGGTGGCGGCTTTTGGTTCTCTCTTTGGTGGTGGTCGAAGCTTGTTCTTGTGTTTATCTTCTTGGTTGTTGTGGGGATTTGTTTCTTTTTATGGATCAGACCTTTTTTAATGAATAAGGTATGTTGATCTGCATTTATCCGAATTTCATTATTTTATCTGCAAATTCCTCTTTTTTTCTTATCGTTGATGCAAAAGTCACTCATTAACCCTAATTTCTTCAATTTCCTCAAAGTAACCCTAACTCGCCTCTCCAGAAAGAACCCTAATTCCCAATCTTAATGATATTCTCGACTGTTTCCTTGATTTATATGCATAATTCAGGAACGATCCAACTGGATTTTTAAAATTATTCCAAGTTCTATAACTTCAATCCCTGTGTTTCTCACGTATTTCAGGAGCTTATCCCTATTTTGAATTGGGAAACCCAAAACTTTCAGCAAACCAGTGTTAGCAGTATTCATCTTCACTTCTGTAGCAATCTTCCCAACCATATTACTACCATCTACACCTTCAATATGGGTAGCTAGAATGAGTTTTGGTTATGGTTTTGGGTTTCTTTTAATCATTAGTGGAGTCATCATCGGCTAATAGTAGGAATCATGAAACTCAAAACTCAACAGAACAAAATTTGAAAATCCATGGTTTTTGTTTGGCGTTCATATCATTATATCTATTTACTCTTGGTTATGAATTTCTCATTTTTGAATTTTCGTTTGAGCAGAAATTCAAAAGACATGGCTGGTGGAAACAAAGAACTTGTTAGCTGTATGACACGAGGCTTGGTGATGCATGATATATCAATTTCAATCTTACACATACTAACAATCATGGTGATGGTAAGTTACTAGTCTTAGTATCATCAAGCAATAAGTAACTTATGCTTCTTAATGATAACATTATCTGAGGGTGTTGAGGCATCTATCATATATGTCCGCTTTAAGGCAGCTGCAAGTGAGGTAAAAAATATCTTACTTTCTACATGATGATCCCTTTAACTCCATTAATAAATAAACCTAATAGTAGCCACATATGCACAACTTAAACCAGTACATGACGAAATCGAAAGAAGATCTTCAAGGAAAGAGTATGTTCAAATTTTTTTCAGAATGTCACAGAATATACTATGAATAACACCTATCTTTGGTGAGCTTTCACTTTTTTACTTTTCTTTTTAGAAATTTCACTATATGATGTGATTGTAATTATTCATCTTATTTATGCCATCCAGGTAAAAGGCATAATATCTCAAAGCATTTCAGAATATTCCAAAAAGGAGACCTTACCTTCTTTAACCAGGTCCGGATGTGCATACTTGATGCATGCATCTAATTTATAATGTTTTTGCTTTTATGTATGTGAATAAAAATAGTATAAAAATTATGTTTGTATTGTAATCACTTCGACAGGTTTGCCAATTGGAGCACCAATTGTTTGATCATTTCTTCCCATCAACATCAGAGGATATAACAAGTCTGAATCCTTTGGTAGATCCACTGTAAGTTATAAATGGAATTCTTTTATATATCTTTAATGTGTATTTGTTGACAATTGAAATGTTGATTTTGTGTTTATAGATGTACTTTCTTGTATGATACACTGAGACCAAAGTTAATCCATGAAACAAATCTTGATGTTCTTTGTGAACTTGTGGATATTCTCAAAATAGAAGTGGTAGGTAAACAACTGAGCAGAAGAAGTGAATCTTTGGCTGGAATTCGGCCTACATTGGACTGAATTTTAGCAGATATTAATGAAAGGTTAACCTTTCGTGCTCGAACACATATTCGTGATGAGGTATTACGTCATTTCATATTATCCTTTTATTGAAATCATTTCATTACTAATAAGCTGTTATCTCCATAATTTAAATTCTGTTTTATGTTCATCTTAGATAGCAAATTATCCCCTACTGGATGAAGATCTAGATGACCATGGAAAGTTGGAACAATCACCTGATATCAAATCAGATCCCACTTCTGTAACATACTTCTTAAATCACATTTTAATCCTATATATGTTTTATATATGTTTATATAAATTCTATAATTTTTAAAATATTAATTTGTAGATTGAACTGAGTTCAAATGTTGTCAAGACTTGGTACCCTCCACTGGAAAAAACTGTATCCTATCTCTCAAAACTATATAACTGTCTGGAGCAAGCAGTTTTTATTGGCCTTGCACAGGTCTGTGAATTTTCAATAATATATTTTTAGTTTTTATTTTTTAATTCAGTTCCTTTTTTTCTTGCATTCTCCAGGAAGCTGTTGAGGTTTGCTCTATATCCATCCAAGTAAGTGAATTTAATTGCTTTAGATTTGTTTCAACATTTGGTCTGTAATTATTTTAACGTCTTTGAATATTTCATTTTATCTGTTTGCTACAGAAAGCAAGCAAACTTGTTGCAAAAAGATCATCACAAATGGATGGACAACTTTTTCTCATTAACCATCTTCTTATATTAAGAGAACAGATTGCACCTTTTGATATAGAATTCTCAGCTTCTCCCATTTGTTGGTTAGTATCTACTTCAACTTCTCAAAAGAAAAAAACAATTATCTCTTAGAAGAAACTGAAAGTTTGTATTCATTTTTATGTGATCACTTTAGGAGCATCTAAGATGAATCCTTAGAGGTCAAACCTGATTATTTGATTGGTCAAGGTCAACTTCTTTGGCAAGGAAACTGTTGACTCGAGTTTTGGAAAGTCAAATTACCACAAAGAAGGTATACAGTTAGCTTTTGATTGGTCAAAGTCAAATTTGTCAAGGTCGACTACCATTAGGATGAGTCATATCAGGTATATATAATCATGCACCTATGCTTATATACCCTTTATGCAAGAGCTATTTGATTATCAAACAGTTTGTGGAATGAAGATCACAGTTCAAGTTTGGATTAGTTCCTATATGTGCTAAAAAATCATCACAAAAATGTTTTTCTCACTAAACATGCTTTTCCGTGCAGTTCTATTTGATAAGAAACCTGATGAGGTTCCCATGATAAGTCTAATTTGGTGCTTTGCAAGTTTATGTCACCACAACAACTGATTTCTCATGTTTGCTATGATACTATTTTGCTTATGCAACTTGTAGAATCTATGCTAAGTTAGGTCATGGAGGAGTTTGAGAATCGCATCACTAGTCAAGTTGAACTAGTAAAGCTTCTTAGCTATGTTGTTTCCTAACTGACATGATTATTGTGTAGGATTTCTGTGTTGTTTTTGATCAAGAGTTGGGATTGATATTGAAGCTAAGAGACATGTTGATTGGTTGGATACATGAAGGGTTTTAGAGTTTCTTTAGACAGCTTAATGATGAGTTACTAAAACAAGAAGGTGCACCTTTATAGCAATGTAGTATTAGGTTATATAGTTAGGGAAAACCTCTTAATAACAATGTACAATAAGATCCCTTTAATATCAATGTATTTCAATTTTTTGACATGATGTTATTGGATGAAATTGATTGTTTTGGTATATATATTTTTTCTATATTTTTGTATTATGCGTAAAAGAGTATCGTAAAGGCATGTTGTATATGCATATTGTAAATGGTTGCTGAATTTTATGACACACAAATGCGTGTTATCTTCATTTATGACAGTGGCTATAATGATATACAATGTGTGTCCTAAACGCGCGTCGTAACGCGCAAAAGCGTGTCGTCTCTCGTTATGACAGGGCCTTCCTTGACACGCATTCGCGCATCGTCTGAGCGTTTCACAACACGCATTGCGCATCGTAAAAGGATGTTTTTCTAGTAGTGAGAACCTCTCCCACCCTCATTTTCTTCACACCTTTCCCATTCTTTCTTCTCTTTACTCTCTCTTTAGAACCTCTCTCTAGCCCTGAAACACTCTAAAAAGCCTACGGAACCTCCCTAGCACGAGGCGAAAGCCCCAGAGTGCTCGACGGCTCCAATAAGAAGAGCTTTTCATCTTGGGAACACTGCTCCAAGCAAAGCCCAATTTTTCTATAAAACCCGCTGTAAGTGAGCTACGCCTACGCTATCTTTAATATAGCTTTTATTTAATTATAGTAACATTACTAGGAACTTATAATAAGTACTTGGGCTATTATTATGGTTTATATAAGTATTGTTTAACGCTTATATAGTAGTAATAATAGCTAGACTATTAATTAGTCTCGGAGAATAATAGACTAAACTCTAGTGGTAATAATACTAGGTTTCGTCGAAGGAAATTATTTTTAAGAAGCGAAGCGCTGTCTAAGTTCGGAATCACCACCTTTTCAAGTGAGTGAGTGGTCCCTTTCATTTTACACATAGATATGAAGTATTTAATATAAATTACGTGATATGTGTGCATATTTTCTGAATACTTGTTGTCTATGTTGGGTGAAATGTTTTTATACACGTTTTAAATGATATAAATTGTATATGTATTTTATATCTACAAAATGTGTTGGGTAAAACATGGGTAGATGTAATAGTTGTTGTGTGACCAAATAAAATAATGAGAGGCCTCAATATAGATGTTATTGATGATCCAGTCATCTAGTTGAACATAGATGACGACTACAGACTATTCTAGATAGTCCACTGGAACGCTAGCAGGCTCGCAACCTGTAGGTGTTTATTTGAACTGTGTGCTCACCAACAGTACTCCATCCCCCACATGGTTGCCTTATTTGACATGAATTGCTGAGGAACCCCTGAAGCATGTGTTGTCACCCGGATGGAAGTCCTTAGACTAAGTCCCTTGTGTTAGATGTTTTAGGGACATAAAGTAAGGATAACGAGAAAGGGTAATCAGGTTTGTTTGGTTTGATAAAGTTAATAAACTTATTTATTGTGGGTTGAAAACCCTATGTACTCACCAGGTTTCCCAACCTGACCCACTCAGCTTATTTATATCACAAGTGTTAATATGAAGTCACATTACATTGAGAGATTAAGGAGATATAAATCACAAGTGATAATGAATGTAAGTTATGTTTATGCTTATGTTTCTGTATTGACGATGACATCCCAAATGTTTTAAAATGAATACAAATACCTTTCATCGGAAATGATTTGATAACATATTTATCATGTTTTACTGGGAACAAATTCCGCAACATTTTTATTAAAAAAGGTACTCTGATTTTTATAAAGCATAAACAAAATCGGTCTTTTCAGGCCGTGAAAATGGGAATGTCACAGAAAATAAAAGCAATCCCAATTGGACAGATCTTCAAGCCCAAAACTCAAGTTCTGATCTCTCAGACCTTAAGTCCAGGAAATACAATTCCATCCCTTTTGCTGGACCTAACGGTGTTGGGCTTAATATTACACTTAGTATGGATTGCAATCAAAATAAAAGTGATACAGGGGAACATAATGCATCGGAACCCAATGCTCGTATTAATCAGGCTCCGAATCCTATCAAGCATATTCCTGAATTTGAAGTTCTTGAGGAACATCTACAACAACAATTCTCCAGTTTTATCTCCGAAAGCGAAGACGATCACCTCTCGTTCGAGGAGGAAGATGTAGATTTTAATGAAGAGAGTGGTTTCTACTCAGAGACGAACATGGTTTGGAATCGGAAAGATAAGAGAAGTAACAAGAAAAGGAAGCAACACAAGATGAAATCTCTAGTACCTCCATGTGACTGCCGAACGAAAAAAAATGGAACATGCTTCAGACACGATCACCTTTCAGGTGGTAAGTGGGCCCTCTTTCTGTTTGCCTAAGGAGGTCGAACTTTCCTCAGATTCAGAAAACTTTATATGTTCTGTCAACTCCCGTTTGATACGCAATTCATGTTTGTCACAACTTGTGATTAATAAGGGAGAGAATTCTAGTGATCAACTTTCTTCTTGCAATGAAATTCATGAAACTATTAAAACTGGAAATTGTTATGGATTCCTTATGGATGGGTTTTCTGATATGATTCATGAGGTTACAAATGAGCAAGGGGAAAAAATAACTCCATGATAAAATGTCTCTCTTTAAATATAAATCGGTTAGGGAAGGATGTAAAAAAAGATTGGGTCAAGGAGATAATCAGAAATCAGAGAATAAATACACTTTGCATTCAAGAAACCAAAAGGGAGTGTACGAGTGACACCTCTATCCGTTCCTTGTAGGGAAATAAGCATTTTGTGTGGGCTGGGGAAGGTTCTATTGGGAATTCTGGTGGGATTTTGACTATCTAGGATCCATGCTTTCTTGAACTTGGCTCAATTATCTAAAGCAAAAGGTTTCTTTCCATCATGGGTACCTAGAAATCAATCAAAAAAGAATGTGGTTTAGTGAAAATTTATGCTCCTCAAGAACAATAGGAAAAAAATGTCCTCTGGTATCAACTTTCAAATTTGATCTCAGCAGATCCAAACAAGATCTGGATTCTCTGCGGTGATTTTAACGAAGTTAGATCTAAAGAAGAAAGGAAAGGTTCAATGTTCTCGGTCAATTGCGCTCATGCTTTCAATTCCTTCATTGCTAACTGTGGTCCTGTCGATCTTCACTTGGGTGGGAGGAAGTACACTTGGATGAACACGGAGGGCTCCAAATTTAGCAAAATGGACCGGTTTCTAGTATCTAACATGTTCCTTCAGTTTTGGACCAACTCTAACACGCTTGCTCTTCCACGTTTATACCCTGACCATTGTCCCATTATGTTGAATACTAATAGTCTAGATTTTGGTCCACTACCTTTCTAATTCTTCTCTTATTGGTTCTTAGACAAGGGTTTAGGGGACGTGGTTAAGGATTCTTGGTTTGTAAATACCAGCGGCTTAACGATGTTCTCAAAGATTGAAAGGTTATCCCGAAAGTTGAGAATCATTAAAAAAAATCAAAGTTTGGTGTCTAACAATTAACAAAACGAAGGATGAAGAAGTGAAATCTCTTAAAACCAAAGTAGTGGCTCTGGATATGTTAGCTGAAGTCATTGACCTTGATGAAGCCTCCATAAAAGAAAGATCAGACACTATTTTAATAATTCATGACATAGAAAATAAAAAAAGTGCTTGATTTAAGACAAAAGGCGTGGTGCAAATCGGTTCTTGAAGGGGATGAAAATTCAAGTTTTTTCCATGGGTTGGTGAATATGAGTATTAAGAGCTCTCGTATATTTAAAAAAATCATTTTGACACTTTTGGTCATTATAGTAAAAAAATTATATTTTTTCATAAAAAACACAAATAACGGCCCGGGGCAAAGCCCGGGTTTTTATGCTAGTTTAGATACATAGAATTAAGTAAACCATGCCAAAAATGTTTTGAAGACAATTTATTAATATGACTATCATATAACTTATGACAACATTAAATTATTTTTGGTATGAACTAGTTTATAATCTGTGGGAACAATAGTTACAAAATTAATTAAATTTTCATTGTAAAAACCTTAAAATTAGTAATCAATTATTCTAAATAAATTATTAATTAGGAGATTTTTTAATTATATAAAATTATAATTATTGATTTAAATAAATACATAAAATTATATCACATTATAATATGTACTAACTTTATTTTAATTTGTATTTAAATGTTATTAATTTAATGTAATTAAAGTGACAAATTTAAAATTTAAAATGGAGAATCAATAGGTTGTCAAATGACATGACATTAATTATGAGACCTAATAAAATAACACATGATTAAAAGAGAATAAAAATATTCTTTTATTAGAATAGGGATATGAATACTTTATATCTGTTTTACATTAAAAAAAACAATTGAACCATGATTATAAAGGTTCTACATACACACAATGTTTTTCATTATGACTATTATTTACATTACAACAATATAAATTTGTTTTCATCGTGGCTTATGATATCATCTAGACATACAAATATTGTTGAGTATGAGTCTTGTATGTGTTTTATTGACAAACAAAATTAATTAAATCATATATGTAAATATTATATAATCATATAATCCTTTTTTAACCGTGATTGTTGTACAATATTGTCAGATGATGTCACACCCTCAGACCAGAACGACGGAAACGTCCGGAGGCAGATAACGTCATTGTGTAGTATCGTCACAATTGTATATAAATGAAACATAGCAATCCACACATCATACATTGAAATACAAGCTTACTTTGTTTTACATAGTGTATTTGTTCACATATTACAACAAAAGTGACATTAGTAATAAATTTCCATAATGTAGCAAAATATCCAGTAATCTGAGGCTCTATACTTGCTTATTGAGTTCCTAAGAATACAAACAATTCTGAAAAACGTCAACATATAAAATGTTGGTGAAATCATAAAAGTATTTGTATGAAAACTTTGTATCACTTTGTAAACACCATAAATCCGATATTTTGTGTAAGAAAAATGTTTTGTAGGTTTTGTTTTCAAATTTTGTATTATAGCATGTGTGTTTTTGTTTCCGACAATGTATGAAAAAGAGTTTCCAGAAAATCCTTTATTTTCTGCTCTTTGAAAAACTATAATGTGTAGTAAGTGGTTCCTAGAAAACCCGATGTTTCCCGTTGATATAAGCGTTGTGATCTTAAAACCCATAAGACCCGAGTAATGAAGTAAATGTATTGTTTCATATGATGTATTCAAGATGTGTAGTATGCATATTCTTGTAAGTTTGTGTCGTCGTTATTCTTTCTGTGACTCGTTATAACCATACTTGATAATGACTGTTCGCCTGTCTTGACATTTTTCCGGTGCCGAACGTTTATAGGTAAGGTTTGTCACCTTAGTCTGGTCTAGTCTAGCTGTAGCGAACAACTCAAGTGTAAGGAAGTCACCCTCGTATACATCTATATACACACTCTCGCTCTCAGATCGGGGAGACTCTGGTTATAACTATAGGCTACGGTTATACAATCAAAAGGTGTCAAACACAATGTCTTCACAAGAGCCTTAACTGAATTCACGCGAATATCGAATCGCACAACGTATATCGTTTTCCGTGTATGCTTTTAGTTTGTTAGACTCAACAAGCAGGTAAATGGGCCACAAGGCCCAAAAAAAAATATTATGAGTGTATTTTGCCCAATTAGGGTAAAATGTTGTTAAAAGCCCATTTGTAAACAAAAATGGACATTTTAGTCTAATTTGTGTTAAAATGACAACTTAGGCTCATTTTTAGTAAAAATGACATTCTTGGCCCATTTTAATGAAATTTGTCAAACTTGGTCCATTTTATAAAAAAATGACCAGTTTAGTTCAAAAATACCTAAAATAACATAAAAGACCCATTTTATTCAAAAATGATCATTTTAGCCCATTTTTAACTTATTTGACAAATAAGGTCCTTTCTTGTAATTTCTTTTAGTTTCATAATGACTTGTATACAAGTTTAACATGTCCAACTATTTTATGATGCTACATAATGTAACTTATTTTGTAATCACTTCAAAACATGATGAAATCTCGAGTTCTTGAAGGTTTATCAAAAATTTATAGCATTTTACATATAATAACATGAAAATATACACATGCAAGCATAAATACCAAGATCAAAGACAAAACAAAGCTTGTATTCCCTCCCTAAAAGTAGAAAAAATGAAAATGAGGGAGTATGAAGCTCACCTTGGGTGTTTTGTGGAAGACTTGAAGTGTGGAGTGGAGTTTATAAGCTAAAACCCTAAGATTTTCCCTTGAAGTTCACTTGAAGTATCTAATCACCAAGAAGTGAAGATCACTTAGAAGATGAAGTTATTTGAAGAACTAAACCCTTGTTCTTAAGAGAGTGTGAGAATAGATGGAGTATCAGTGGAGATACATAAGAGAAAGAAAGTGGAGTATAATCAACTGAATGATGAATGAGTCTCCAAATTCGTGGGTTTTAAAATATGGAAGTGGCATGGATACATGATGTATAATTTGACTTTTTGCATGGAAATTCGTTGGGTAATGAGAGGGTAGGGCCAACTTTGATTTCTAAGGTATCTTTCGTACTAAAATATATTAAACAAATGAATATTTTACTAGAAGTTCATGAGTTTGACCGAACACATAATAATTAAATCAAGGTATGGCCGATTTTTGTTATCCTAGGACAACTTTGGGTACAACAAATATAATAAACAAATGTAATCATACTGGGAGCTCCTAGTGTTGACCGAACACATAATAAATATCCCAATCCAAATAAAATTCGGATTTTTAGACTTTGGAAATGAGGAAATCAGTCTATATCGTGTTAGAAATAAGGAATTCGGTCTATATATGTGTATATATATGAAATTTGGTTTCTTGTTGGGCTTCGTATGGGAAATTTGGTCTTGAAAGGCCCAATACCAATGGGAATTCGGTTTTTATGTGATCAAAACAAGTGTTTTCGGTCATGAAGTGTTCATGGCCGAACAGTCCTTTGTTCCACCATTTAGTTTCACTCTTTGGTCATTTTTGGTTCCTCATGACATATAAACTTGTGTTGCATGTTTCTTTCAATTGTTTTGTTTGTAATTGTATTCAGAATAGATCCCTTTTTTCTTAACATAGACTATTTCAATAAAAAAAATATGGAGAGAGTGTTGGTGCATACATACAACCCTAAGTCAAAATTGCTAGTTGTGATAGATAACATTTGTTATCATTACCACATAAATATTTTTTAATGATCTTATTCTCATGGGAGGAGCTTCTTTAGGGACAAAAAGGGTTGTGCTGTGCCCCCCCCCCCCCCCCACCTCCCGCCCCAACCCACCCACCCCCTTCCTTGTTTTTTTTTGTTATAAATAATTCATACCTATTAAATTTTATATATATTAGACATAAAAATACAAAGTTTGAGATTTTCCATGTGTTCTCCAATTTATATTCGTATTATACTTTGGCATAATTATTTTATGGACACACTATTTCATTCACAATCACTACACTATAGCCACCTAGATTTGTTATTACAATAACATTTATTTTTATACTACCACATAATATTCTTTTTAATGTGACTATTATATATATATATATATATATATATATATATATATATATATATATATATATATATATAGAGAGAGAGAGAGAGAGAGAGATCCGGTAAGAAATTTTAATTGGTAGAAAGGTAAGAAATTTTTTTCTACTTATTTTTTTGGTGAAAAAAATAAATGAATCAATAATAACATGATCCAACAAAAAAAATCTCGAAAAAACATTTCGATGATTCATTTTTATGATAATTTTGTTGATATTCACTAAAATTGTCATAAAAGTGATTTTGTTTTTTTTTTTTTTTTTTTGATTTACCTAAAATGAATCAAGAAGGTGTTTTTTTCGAAATTTTTTCTTGTGAATAATCTTACTTTTGAATCATCTAATGATTCGTTTCATTTTTTGCTAAGAAAATATGCATATAAAAAAATTTCTTACATTCCTACCAAAAAATTCCTTCTTATTTGATCTTGAGTCTCTCTCTCTCTCTCTCGCTCTCTTTCTCTCTCTCTCTCTCTCTCTCTCTCTATATATATATATATATATATATATATATATATATATATATATATTCATTTTGAATTGTATGCACGTGTGTGCACGCGCGTACACACAGGTACGTGCGCGCGCGCACACACACACACACACACACACACACACACACACATATATATATATATATATATATATATATATTCATGTTTGAGGTGTGCTTAAACAAGTAATTCATAGATTGTCGTAGGTTAACAGTAAGTTTATGTAGATCTAAATCTAGTTCCTTCTTTTTGTACTTTCCTAATA